TCCTGTTGTGTATGTAAATATATATATATATGTAAAACCGTGTAAACAACAGATAAACAATTAACTCATCAACATATTTGTGTCACTTGAGTTTATTAAGTAGAGGGACAGTTTTATCTCACGAATGTAGTTCGTATTGTAGCGTGTAGAGCTGTTGCAATGCAACAACTGCGAGATGGGCGGATATACCTGGGCCGTTTCTGGGCAACGGCTCGGTAAACACATTCCAATTGCTAGGAAGCAGATTCTTAATAGTGCAACAGCTCGACTAAAAGAATCGAAGAATTATATTTTCTACGTGGTTTTGTGCTGAGATGTTATAAGCAAGGGAAGAGATCTGTTTAGTCAGTTCTGTACGGGAGTCTGTGAAGAGAAGACTTGAGACGGAGGCAGAGGGATAGCCTCTTGGAGCAGTTACCAGGAAACGTCTAGCAGCAGAAGACTGGACTCTGTACTCTAGTGAAATGTAGAGCGTATAAAGAGCATTAGTGGTATAGTTATTTGTAGTTACGACTTGTAAATGAAGAATAAATCTATTCACAAATGCAAACCCCGTCTATAGTCACACACACACTATATGAGAGTAATATAGGAGATAAGCGATAATGAAGCGGAGAGTCAGACGAATGTAGACGATTACAGCACAACCTAAACATGAAAAATGTTTTTTCTTAGTTCCCTGTGTTTGCTTAGGTGCGTGTGCCTCGCTAGCCCCTAAACTGTTAGACGGATTTTATTCTTGTTCGATATTTAAGATTATATCAATAATAGTCTCACCCACAGTGAATATGAACATCCTGTTACAAATGGGTGGGGGCTTTATAGACTCCGCGGATTTCAAAACGGCAACTTCCTAGGAAGAATATAAGGATTTTGATTAAATTTTAGTAATGTATGGATAAAAAGTTCCTAATAAAATTCTACAGGTGGTATCTTGAGGCAATAACGATACGCCCTCTAGCGACCCAAAAGCGTATTTCAGGAATATCTGCGTGCCAATTTTTTACTTTCTGTTGAACTTTTTTTATTACAAGGGACATTTTGAACCGTTACAAATTCTAATGCGCAAGTAAGTTGCAGAAGTCCATAAGTCGGTTGGTAGTTTTACAGGAGTAAGAAACTGTTTGCCTTCATATGTTTCGCTTGTTAATATCCACACTGAAAGGAAGTAGTTTAATTACGTTGTTCTCAACGTACGCTGTTGCTGTGTTCTCATACAAGGATTTAGAGTGGTTGTACAATTAAGAATAAATTCTTAATACGGGCAGTGCCATAGCTCAGGCGGTTAGTCGCCGACTTCCCACCGCTGCGGCCCGGGTCAGGTCATGTGGGATTTTTGATGGACAAAGTGGCACTGGGGCAGGTTACCCCTGCCAATTTTCATACTACAGTTGCTCCACAATCATCATCATCAGGGGTTGATACAATAGGCCGAACAGTGGCTGCAGTACAAAGTGGACTCAGTTTCAACCCATCATAAAAATAAAAAAATGCTTATTACAGTTTAAATAAAGTTCGATATTAAAAGTTTTCCTCGTAAATGTAATTCTGTTTGCTGTGTTTCCAAAACCCATCGACCCTGACAACTTTTTAAAATTGTTTACGCTCCTTTTACAACTTCGACATGATTTTGTCAAGGACTTGGGAACCAATTACGTAGCAAGCTGTTTCTGTATGAATCAGACAGTCATTAAACTAGTTCTGTCGCGGTGTTAATTTTGCTGCGCTGCTACGTGGATAGAACCGGAAATAATGTGCAGCCACTTGTTGATTGAAAGTGTACAAAAACAGGCGGTTACAGTTAGGATTGGAGGAGTTATATCCTCTACGAGTATCTTGAATACGAAGTTTCTCGAGAACGTCATAAACACAGTTTATAACCTAATCTCTGGTGCTTCTAATGCACGCTGAGTTCAAGATTACGCAACAAAGGAAACCATTGGCGGCGGCAGACAAGGCAGAGTGAATAAGTGGCATAAGAACCGATGTTTCAACTGAAATTACTGTTCATATTGTCGTTTTGGATTTTTACATCACAGAGTATTATATCAAGCCACCGATATTTCGAAGAAAAATTCTGCTCTGTCTTCAGTCATTAAGATTACATTCCTTCTGTGACGAGGATGGTATCGAAATGCAACGAGAGTGTACTCTGAGTCTCTGTCCTAAACAAGAGGACGTCAATATTCTTGCCAGTTGAGTCTCTGTCCTAAACAAGAGGACGTCAATATTCTTGCCAGTTGAGTCTCTGTCCTAAACAAGAGGACGTCAATATTCTTTCCAGTAGAGTCTCTGTCCTAAACAAGAGCACATCAATATTCTTGCCAGTTGAAAGAATAATAATTTTGTACGGCAGAAGCATGTGGGCTGCGAAGCAGACAACGGAATTATGCGTTCTAAGAAAAGAAGCAAAAAATAAGGTTGCAGTGCTTCGTGTTTTTTTTTTGTAGTAACAACTCAATGAAAACATGTAGAGTCATTTTTCTTATTAGCTCTTATGGACTTAGCCTGGTCTCAGGTGTTTATGATCTTCATGTTTTGTGACATCGGTTTGTCCAGTGACTGAGGCTAGCTCTTTCCAACGGACCCAACAGAATAGGTGTTTTCCTTCACCTGAGGACGGAAACAGATCCAGTTTCCGAAACGTCGTGTTTTTATTAGTTATCTTAAAAACCAGG